AGGACTCTAGGGAGAGATGCATTAAGAGTTGTCTGGCGTTGCTTCTCACCTTTTACCTCTTTTGGTTTCTCCCCACTTCTCCCTCTGGCTCACTCAGTGAAGACAGAGCTGCCCCACTGCCAACACCTAACTCCTTATGTGTTTTTCTGTCCTCAGTGTTTGAGTGAGACAAAACGCAAAATCAATAATGCTTTTTCTCCCCCATTTCCTCTTTGATGCAACTTCAAAAGCCAATGGACAGCTCTCCAGAGGCCCACAGAGGGGAAAAAAAAGCCAATGGTACGAGACAAGCTCAGAATGAAAGTACAGGGGAATAAAACTTCACCCTTCACTCTCTTTAAACACAGTTCACTTCTAAACCACAAGTGGCAAAGCATTTATAAGTGAAAAACAAAAGGGGAAAACCATGAGGTTATAGAAATGTATTTTTTTTTTCAAATCAAATAAACTACTGACATTTAATATATAGACAGAATGAAGCTGATCTTTGCTCTGGCAGTATTTTACACAAATACAACTTCCAAAAGCAAAGCACAGGCTATCTAAGCAGAAGTAGTCAAACACCACATCTATATTCTCTGTACATCTTCTAGAGAGGAAACTAAAAAGAGAAAGAGAAAAAATGAAAGCAAAAATGGACTTTGGTATACGATTATCTACCCAACGCTGACAGAGGAAGTATTCTATCGGCAGTGAACCGCTCCATGACAGGGAGACACTTCAAAGGATCTATAAGTGACTCCTGAAATACTCAGTGAAAGTAAAGTAGGAAATTACCCTCAAGTTAGAAGCATTTGACTAAACCCAGATAGGTGTTTTACCTGACTGGAGAGTCAAATTGAGAACCCTGGTTGAACCTGGCATTTAAATTTTTCAGAAGGAAAGAAAACATAATGGCGCTGAACTCAGAAGCTACTTTCAGCCGCTGCTGTTTGTTGTGCCATGCTGTTTGATTGGCCACAGAGCAGCAGAGTCATTTAACCTTGCCTGTGATGGGGCTAATCTGTCAAAATCGCACGGTATGACTGACAAGATGACTGACAGAGCTGTCTGCTCGATAAAGGTCTGTGCAGTGTAAACCGTAGTCAGATATGGCAACCGTAAAATTCCGTTCTGTAACAGGCAGTTGCACAGCGAGTAAAACAATTCCTCAGTAATCTCTACAGTTAACATTTAAAATTCATAGACTTTTGGACAAACTGAAGATAAATTCAAGTTCTTACACACTTGTTGGTATTTTCATTTCTTTCTTTACCAGACATCCATGATGGGTGAAAGTCTAAAGAAATACTGATACAATAACCAGGTTGATGCCTGACATAGACTCCTCAGGTCATATATTTTCCTTTTAATGCCAGGGAAACAATAATGGATATAATATTTTAAGTAGCTGAACCACTTATGACATTTTGGCATTTCTTCATCTTTATATAAGCACTAATTCTTTAATAACATTTTTATTAAAGTCCCTTTCATATAATACTTGTAATCACATTTGAGAAAGATTAATAAAACATTTTAACTCAATGGCTTTTGACTGTTTACATGGCGCAGAGAATAATTCTCTGCCAAAAAAACTGTATGAAAGTGAACATAGTTAGTTCCAGGGACAAAAGATCAATATAAATCAATGCATTTAAAAATCCAAAGCAGTGATGAAAATGGTCAAATCAAGAGATCATAAATAATATCAGTTTTAGGAATAAGTTTTCATCATTAGGCTCCTCTTCCCAGCCTATATGCAGCCAAATCAAAAATCCATGCTCTCAATGGGCAGTCAATATCTCATTAACCAGCCTCTCTACACAGTCGGGCAGCCAGGGTGTTTCTCTCAGTCTGCACAGCACAGCCTGGCACACCTCACACTCTTTAATAACCTGTGGGGACAAAAATCCACTTCCTCAACCAGCTAGGAGGCAAGAACGACGGCAGAAGCAGCCGTCCTGTTTGTCAGAGTGCCAGTGGATTATTTCTGAATATTCTATTTAAATACAAATACAACTACAACACTTAAATTGAATGAAAAGAATCTTTACAAATACATACACATGGACTAAAACCTGTTCTTCAACATGAGAATTTGAAAGCTATATTTTCAATATGACATAATACACCCTAAACTACTGTTTTGGTTAAAAAAAAAACCCTTGCAGATGGCTTGTGCTAAATTTGTCTCCAATGTAATCTGAGGCATTTTTTCCCTTTCCTTTGGCTCTTCAAGTCCTCAGTCCCCAAATGGATAATAGCAAATCTTGTTAACCTCTGCTTCAATGTGCGAGAGCCTGCAGCACTGGGTAGGGAGCTCTACAATCAGCCACTGATAGAAAGAGACAAAGAATGCCAAATCTACGGCAAATATTTACAGCCTTGTTAACATAGCCTTAAAGCACCTATCACAAGATATTTGGCTTTACCTACTCCGAGGCCCCGGAACATTTTTCACAATCGAGTAAACAACTGTGGCAAATCCCACGTACATGTGTTGTGTACGTACGCTGAGGTGGCTTGTTGGGCCTGGCTTTGAACTATTTTGTTACTTTGTTGAGATAAAAAAAAATAAAAAAAATTTGAGGGTTAATTATCAGTACTCTGGATGAGAAGCACTTTTTACCTTTTCTATCCACACATCAAACAACTTTCTTTAACGATGTAATTGGAATTTTCATCTTAATTGTGCTGAGTAGGCCTGCTAATTTGCATGGGGTAATGAGAGGGATGTTTCCATTACAGGTAATTAGGTACTTGAGAGGCAGTGGTGTGGTAGAAAGGGTTGAATGAGAGGGAGGGATTGGTACACAGGGATGCAGAGAAGGGACAAAGCCATAAAGATACATGGAGATGTGTTCAAAATATTTAAACATTATTTTCAAATACGGAGGACGAGAAAAATCCTAAAGAGACCATAAAAGAGGTTTTCACTCTATGACTGGATACCAATATTAACATAATAGTAATAATAAGTGAGTCTGTGCCAAGGCAGCAAGTCAATATGCAGTTCATCTAATTCACTGAGCACTTTCTGGGAGAAATTGTTACTGCCATTTGAATTAGTTTCCAATTATGCTACTTGTTCACGTTTTAATTTCATTTCTGACACAGCCTCTGTGTCCCGTCATGACACCAGCGACCCTGTCAGAATGAAAGCCCCAATGTGGGCTGAGACGGAGCCAAAAGAAGACATAAAACCCGAACAAATGGACCAGTGGATGCACATTATACCCAAGACTATGACGGCAGACGGCAAATACAAAATGAAGCAAATATGTTCGATCCCTGTTAATTTGTCTACAGCAAAGTAAGTCACAAATATTGAGAGTGCGTTCAGCCCCAGCATGTCAAGCGTATAAGAAATAAACATTAAAATGTTAACGCTCACACATTGCTCTTTTTTCAAAATTAATATAAATTCAATACACCACCCTAACCCTACCTTTTCTGCCCTGATATAGGATTTAATAAATCCCTTCTTAATAAACTGCTCTCAAAAGTACACTGGGTCAAAAGGTCTTTTTTATGCTCCTTTTCTGGCAAATAAAATTAACTCATCCTCAGTTTCTCTGGCTTATCACAAATGAGTGAGGCTGAATTCATAGACGATGTCTGTCCTTAACAGACAGAGGAAATTAACAGTGGTGAGAGTTGCCACTCTCACACACTTAGAGCCCATTTTACACCTCCAAGATATCAAAGTCTGTTGTGGAAATTTGAAATGAAATGAAGATAATTTTTAAAAACTCTAAACACCACAAACATTTGGCCTTGGGCTCTTTGTTTCAAATCACTCCGTTAATTTGCTCACATTTATAATAATTTTCAAAAAGACCCTCCGTTTTTTTTTAAAACCACAATAAAAACAGCACAAAAGCAAAATCACGTAAAATGACCATTTCGGACAGGTGGGAAGAGAGGAAAAAAAAAGCAAATCAAATGAATGGTTAAGACATTTTTCACGCGACTCGGACTGATGGCTACCGTGTGCGTGTGCGTGGCTACTGAAAGCGCGTTCATTAAATCCTGTAAGCACATATGTTGGTCTGGCCGTGCGCGTTTTCCGAACGTGGAAGCACATTGCCTTTCCTAAGTGTGGAGAGAAACACTATTGAATGCATGCGCGTGTGCAAGCATGCGTGAGAGAAGTGAGTGCGTCTGAAAGCTCGAGCTCGCATCAGTCTGCACGGATGTGTGCGCGCACACATGTGCGATGGAGGGGGGAGGAAGAGCTGGGGATTAGGCAGAGGCTACTAGATCAACATCAGAGCGACTGGGAGGACCCATCGTGCTCTCATGGCTACACATGTAAACCCTTTTCTACCCCACGAAATAGGTCAGTGGAGCACAAAACACACGCACGCACGCACGCGCGCGCAGATGTACGCTCTCGCATATACGTGCGCCCCGGTATCAACTCCAAACAATCACAGTCTGCCATTAGCGCCCTGTCGCCCGTCTGCGACCCAAGTTCAACCCCCGCCACGCGCATCTTCCCGCGGCACAGACACGTCCTCCGGACTGGAAAACAGGATTAAGAAGAGGGTGGAACGGGACAGAGATAGGACCCCACGGACAGCGACCCTTTTCCTCGCATTTACGCAAAAAAAGACGAGAGAAATAATTGTAAAAAAAAAAAAAAAAAAAAAAACTTACAGTAACATTCTGTTAAAATGGAAAAAAGTCAAAAAGTGAAACACTTGAAAAGCTTCAAGCTTTCAAATCAAAGTATTTTACTCAGAGTTCACAAAGTACGCCCATGCACGAGTAAAAAAAAAAAAAGAGGCATTAAGAATAAATAAATAAACACATAATTGACTCGGACACTGTCAGAGGCGCTGCTCGGCTGTATTCCTCCCTCCCTCCCTCCCTCTCTGTCACACTCATGCCTTGCAAATGAAATGCAAAGAGTTGGCAGGCTCCGAATATATCGGATCCGCACTCCCCTACACTTGTTACGCGGGCAGCAGGGATCGGCATGCAGTTTTTTTTTTTTTATTATTGCTTCTTACCTTTCATAGCTGAAATCACAAAATACATCATTAAGCTTCGCGTCCATAAGAGAAGAACTATCACCAGCGCAAAAGCCCTCTACTGCTGTCTCAGCAGCAGCTGGCCAGCACAGCTCTGTCTCTCAGCCTCCGAGCATGACCACACCAGAATCCATGTGACTGTGACATCAGCGTGCATGTCTGTGCTGCTCCCCACCCACCGGCCTTTGATTGGCACAGCGTGCAGCCAGTAGGGGCGCTGAGAGCCCAGGCAGGGATGCTGGCCCTCTTCCCACTGATTGCAGTCTTGCTAGACACAACACACAACTCTCTCCAACTCTCTTTCCGTGCCTTATCTTGTTTTTAGTGCAAGGATAAAGTCAGGCAGCGTTCTTCCACATTCTTGTTCTGCAGCTCTGCCCTTTCTTCTGCATTTAAAAAAAAAGAAAAATGGTGCAACACCGAACAGGGGAAGTAGTCACAGAGGGGGATAAAAGGCAGCAGCACGGGGATCAGAGACTTGAAGGGAGTGGATGAGATGAGGAAACAACGGAGATGATTAAAAGAAATAAATGAGCGGAGAAGGATGGATGAGAGAGGACGTGTGATTTTTTTTTTTTTTTTCCGTAGCTCAAAGATAGCAAAGCTCCACCTCTCTGTCTGTGGGTGTGAGTGATCAGTGTGAGGCCAGATGTCTGCGAGCAGCGGTGGGCCCTTTGCTGAGAGAAGACAAGTGGAGCCTCAGCATCTTCCTCTGACCTCTCAGAGGACCTGCATGCCCCTCCCCCTCTCACACACACACACACACACACACACACACACACACACACACACACACACACACTCTCTTTCTGACAGGTGAGGAAGAGGAGATAGTGACGGAACAGTTTGGATGATCCCCTCCACCCCACAGCGACCGGGCGATGAGTTTCTTGCTATCGGCTCTCCGTCTCCTCCCCCTGTGCCCCTCACTCTCGCCCCCTGCTTTCCATCCCAGCCTCTGCCGCTCTCCGTCCTCTCCCCCCTCTTCATTCATCCGCTCGCATATGATAATCTGTTCTGACTCCTAACCAGCTGCCTCTCTCTGATACAATATTCTGGTTTTAGTGCAACCCAGCCTTGGCCAATAACCATTTGGCATTTCCATGAATAAGCTGGTGCTCATATCATCTCTTCTCAAGACAAACATCACACAGCTTTGGTCTCACACGCTGCTATATTTCATGCTGGAAAAAGGAAACCATAAAAAAATATTTTTTTTCTTTGCGCGATAAATTTTTAAAATGTCCAAATCAGAATATTGTAGGCTCATTCCACATTCTCTGCCGTTCCCTGAGTTTTAATAGCCCCCCTTCAGGGCTCCATCGTTTCCCCAGAATCATAACTTCCACAGGGAAACAAATTTGTTGGAATGATAGATCCTTGAGAAGTAGCATCTCATTTTTGAGATGGTCCCAAAGACTTAAATACAACATCACAAATTGACATATCACTTTCATAAATATATACAGTTTGAACTCCCATCCACTCTTCCAAGCCCTTAAATTTTTTTTCAAATGATCCAAAACAATAAATAAATCACAACTTAATTTTAAGGAATAAAGATCCTTTGAAAAACTAATAAAAAGTACGGAGAACTAAAAAGTATAGTGTTGCTTTAAGATGAGACATAAAAAAATCAGAAAAGTAAAAAAAAAGTAGAATTTTCAATAAAACAGAAATATTCAAAATACTGAAATACTTATTTCAGAAAAGATGTGATACACACGTAAATAGGACAGAATTTTTAGATACATTTTTGCACACATCAGATAAAGAAAAATACAGATTTTAAGAAGAAAAGAAACTGCTTCACAAGGCCGACTTCGAATAAAATAATTTAAAATTAAATAACGTGTATTTGCCCCCTGGAGTTTCAAATGAACAAAGTAACATTAACGGGCAGTCTGATTATTTATTCCTGTATGATACTCTAAATACCTGTATTCATTTTGGGTCTTCGCTAGACTTTTAATGATTAAATAAAGGCACTTCTAACCACATCTAAAATGGAAATGAGGACTCAGCAGCTCGCAACATAAATCTTCTCATGACAATGTTCCATTAGGACCTCTATGATCCATTACAGTCACTAAACACATTAACTCAGGTTGTGTCAATGTTGGTCTGTTATTGCGCAGCACAATAATGAACAAAACATCATTCAGAGACTGATAGAATCAAATGGAGCGTGCCCGGGATAAGAAGAAGATGTAGACGGGCCACTGTAGGTAAACTGTTCAGAACAATGTGACGCACGAGACGGTGGAGCCATTTCATTTTGATTTCAGTGTCTCCCCACAGGATCTTCAACGTTCACCAGATGACTCAAGTCCAGGGCCCACACAGGAGGAAGTTTAACTGCCACTGTCAGGGCTTCTGTCTTTGAAGCTGTCTGCTAGACCAGTACATCTATCACTGCTTGGGTTTTTTTTTTTTTTCGAATAAACGCAGAACAGCTTAGCGATGGTTGCGTCTGTTTGCTGGTTATCTCAAAACAGCTGAGGAGTAATTTGTGAAGTTCTTATCGATGGTGGAGTGTGTTTGAACTGAACAGCGTCAGAGCAGGAGATCAACAGTTCCGGCAGATAACTTTGCCGGAAAACATAAAAAAAATTAAAAACCACATAAAAAGAATGCAAATAAATTTAAATAAAAAAAAGAGTTACAAATGAGTTGGCTTGCAACTTCTCAGCTTTGTGCACATGTCATTAGATTGTAGATGTACAACAACACTACACTATCTCTTTTTAACACCCACACAGACAGAAAACACAAATCAGTATGTATACAAGTTATGTGTTCTTTGGATCAGCCAGTGGTGCTTGTAACACATGTGGCTCTGCATTTTCAGCTGGACAACATATATGGAGCCTCCAAACAGAGTGCTTAAAAACTACCGTCTCCCTAAGGGCAACTGTTTTCCAGCAAAGCTGCTTCATTGGCTCTGGATCACACTGTGTTTGATGGCTCCACATTATCAGTGACAGAATGCCAATGTGCTGCTGATGCATGTTCACTTGTACATTGATTAAGCCACAAAAGGACCTATGGTCGAATGCGCATATGAGTATTAATTCAATATTGTGAGGCCATTAAGAGAATTTAGTTGATAAATTTGTCATACCCCTGCATCAAAATGAAAAAAATTAAAATAATTAAAAAAAAAAAAAAATCTGTGGTGAGTCAGAAGCATTTATTGGACACATTCTGTGTCTAAAAATGGAGCTGAAACAGGGACAATACACCAAATGTGTTAATTCAACTTCTCCACTTTGTGTATTTGGCACTCCTTGTAGATTCAAGGAAATAAATGTATTTACTGTAAACAAGCCCCGTGGAATGATTTTCAATTGAGATGCGGTACCGAATATCCACCAGTGCCCCGCAGGAGAGGAGAGGATGAGACCCGATAATGGTCTCATTAGCAGTCTGTCAGTAGCCATTCTATGCAAAAGCGCACCGTGCAGCTGATCCGCATTGACTCTTCTAACCCTGGACTCAGAGTGGTAGAACTGCACACTGTTGCACTCTGTGGCCTTTAACACCACAAGAAACCACTCTCAGACTTGCTCATTTTGAGTCCCTATCTTGTGGTGAGCTGAGGCTCATATCCTACCACAGAGCCACCTGGGTGTTGGGAGCGTCACGGCCAGCCTGAAGCGGCAGTGGAATTAACAGGCTCCAACAGGCACTCCATGAAAACAATACAGATCAATTTAATATAGATGCCAAGGAGTGGAGGGCATAATATCAGAACCATAACAGCACCGGCCCACACCACACAATCATAAACCAATTTAGGGCCATTTCCAGCAATTTCCTGGGGGCTTCCACTTGTGGGAGGACTTCAATAAATCACACAGACAACAAAGGAAATATCTATTTCATTGAAAGTAGAGGACACAACTGGGCTGTGTCCAGGGGACTGGAGAGAGTTGCGTTCAAAGACTAGTTTAAATAATAGCAGTGAAAGTTTAAGAAAATCCTTTACACTACAGCTGCGCCAGCACTGTGTGCACAGGAAACACACGTAACCCGTTATGACTAATGGCTTTTTTATAGAGCAGCACACTGTGTCACATATAGGGAAGGGCTGGCAGTAAATCCGCATTATACCACCTAAATGTTAATATTACACTTGGATCAGATGACTACAGATAAATGGCTATATACAGTACCCCTTTATCCTTCATATGCATAGCAGCCCCGGGGCCAGATCTGCTCTACTCTCTTTGTCACGAAACACATATACGCATAAACACAGTATTTATAGAATTGCAGGGTCAAAAAGAAGGAAATCTGAAAGCATGTCATTCCTGCACAGGTGAGGTGAACATCCGTCAATTGTCGTGTAATCAGAATCAACAAAACCAGCAGTTGCGGTGAATGGCTGACAAGGCCACAGCCTATTGTTTTACTGCCACGGTTATTTATAGAGCTGAATTTAAATATTTGCTTCAAGGAGAACATAAAATGACAAGCATTTTTTGTATTTTCAAACTCAATTGAATCATCATGATTTTGTCAAGAAATCAAAAAGAAAAAAAAAAAACTGCAGCCATGGCTGTGTGACCATCATTAAAGGCAGACCCGCATGGTCCCACGGCAGCAAGGCGGAGGTGGTGACAGTGTGCTGTCAACAGCGAATTAACTACTAAACTACTTTAAAAGGAAAGAAAAGCCTCACATTTCCTTTTTTTCCTTATTTGTTTTTTAGTCACTATTTTGTTTGGTGTTAAGTTGTTTCTGTTAAACCAGGCTATTTCTTCAGATATCTTCAAATATCCACAGGAACAAACGGGTTCATAATCTGCCAACTGAAACCCAAAGTTGTCTTAAAAGCATAGGGGGAAAAAAGACGCTATCTAACACACAAAGTTACTGAAAAAGCCTGCCATTGAAGAGACTGGAATAAATCAGTTTATCTGTGTGGTTTATCGGATGTAAGGGTCGTGCTAAATAGCACTCGACGTGACTCTGTTGCCAGCGTATATGTCTCAGAACAATTTT